ACAGTGACAATTAGAAGAGGAGGACTGTTTTCCCCTGGGGTAGCTGATCCTCTTCCTCTCCATGCTATCACTGGTTGTGTTTCCAGGGGATCAACAGATACAACCTGGTGGCCTTGTTCTCCCTCACCCCTATTTCTCCTTCCCAGCCTGAGTCTTATCAACATCCTTCCCCTCCTCTCAGCACCATCTATTTTCATCTACCTGGCTCCTAAAAGGCCACAGTAGTTCACACAGCATAACTTAAGGCTTGGGGTAAAGCTTGTTGGAAAGCACTGACGGTACAACTTCCCTGAAAACAGAGATCTCCCTCATCCTCACGTGGTAGCAGGCACGGCCCAAGGGAGAAGGAGCTTAAAGCAAGGTTCTGCGATCTGGCTGCTTGCCCAGGGCCCAAAATACCAGGTTTCATTTCTAATACGACAGCCGAGCGTTGCTGCTCTAGCCAGCTCCAAAATCTGCTTTGGTTCAGAGTAGGAAACCCAACCAGCCAGTCTCATTTTTAAGCAGATGCACTAACACAAAGCTCTTCAGGACCCCCTTGCAGGCTCAGGCTGATGCTACAGCTTCCCTCTCTCTTTCCTCTCTCCTAGTAACCAGCTCTCTGGCTTCACTGTATTGTAACACAAAGACACCCAGTGAACAGTCAATGAAGCCCAACCCGAGAGCTGAACAGCTGTTCCCTCTGCAAAGATCTGGCATCCAGAGCAGGGCTCCCGGCCAGCGGAAAGAGCAGGGAGGAAGGGAGGGAGGGAGGATACCCTGTTGGAAAGAATAAGGCTAAGCCCGTTCCAGGAAGCGCTGCGGAGCCAGATGTGAGAGGAAGTTGAAGCAAAACTCAGCTTGACCTGGGAAGGGTTATTCAAGAGGGGAGAAGTCTGCTGGGAGCCGGACTGGGCTAGCGACATCAGGTGCTAAAGGTTCGACTGCTGACGCTCACAGCCTGTGGCAGGAGCCGGGGCTGGCAGATTTTATGGGAGGTCTAGATTGAAACCATCTCTGTTCTCTGCCTAAGCGCTGGTGTGATTAATGCTGGCAAAAGGATTGCTCTTGATTTATACCGGGAGGTGAAAAAGAGGATCAGATTCCCCTCCTCACAAAAAAAGAAAATCTCTGCAGTCATGCAAGTTATGTGCAGTTTTTCATGGGGCTGAACAAGAGAGGCTGGTCCACATTACTTTTTATCCTACAAAGCAGGGAACTTCTTAAGCAAAGCCCTTCAGCCTTTCCCCCTGCCCAACCGCAAGGGAGAGCCGCGCAGAGACTTCTTTTTGGCCAAAGCAGCCTCTGGCCCTGAGAGCACATGGAAGAGCAGAAAAGATGAGGGCAAGTCGCAGGTCCTGGCTGAGAAGGAATGAACACATACAGATGAGGGATGGGCTGACTGGACTAGTACTATCACCATATAAATATATGGAAATGAGATCCTGGCTCTACCGAAGCTAATTCCCAATATCCCAGTAGGGATAGTTTTCATATACAAGTGCTTCGCCTGAAAAACTTAGTTCTTACGTATCAGTTGTCTGCATAGATATTAGGTGACGCCCTTGCTGTGAGTGCAAAGAGTGATGTTTGATACCTGACACCTTTTACTTCCTCTCTCCACCCCCTCTGCTTCCACAGCGAAACTTGGAGCAGGGGAGCCCTTATGTTTTTACCGTACAGTTTCAGCTGAAACTCTCCAAAACAAACCATGGCCATGTCCCTGAGAGATAACAGAGGCATGGCATACACACAATCCACTCCCTGGAGACAGCGTCACTGGGGCTAGCAAACTCCATTTCCGGGTCAGAAAGTCCCCAGATCAGCAGATGCCAGAAGTTGGAAGTGTCACTCTTTTTGTTTTTCTGAATAAAAATAAAATGTGATTGCCTAGAGAAAGATTTCCTGGCCATATCAGAAAGAGGATGCTATAAGGAATCAGTATGGCTTAATGCCCATACCACATAACTACCACACAAACAGAGCAGTAGATTTGAACTTCACTGATATTTTGGACCCCACGGAACATTGTATTGAGTTGGAGAAGCCTATGCTGCTTCCATCCCCCGACTGTATCTCTCTGAAGACTACCCAGTTTCTCCTGACCTCCGTGAACATGCAACCTCCAACAGTTACCTCCAGCTCTTTCCTCTCAACCTCTGAGCTTTGCCACTAAGTACCATGCAAAGATCAGATCTAAGCACTTTGCAGATGTAGAAGACAGCACAGCTAATTCTGCAACGGTGATCAGCCTGGGCACAAAGCAAGACCCATTACCATGGGTGTAAAGTTGTTTCAGAGCAAAGCAGGATTTCACTACTGCATTCATGCAGTTTCTTACACCCTCTCCCAGCTCTCTAGCAGACAGCAAAGTGGCAAGATACACACCAAGATCCTTAAAACAGAGATGCACTGCATTTGCTTTCTTGCAAAAGCTGCTGGGCCCATTCCTTAGAGAGCTGGTAAGAATTCAGGCAGAACCTGGGACTGCAACTAAAAATTTCACCTTGCATTGGCTAGCACAAAGCAGTTCTTCTCCTCACTAAATTCAGTCACTTTATCCGAAATGGACAACTGAAAGGAGAGAACTTGGAGAAGTGCTTTAGCGAAACAGGCCTCTGGAAACTTTAAAAGTAACAAGCGCAGATATGAGCTCAAATTCTTTTTAAGGCCAATTTTGCGCTTAAGACAGCTAGTCAATTCTGGTCAGATGATCTCCCCAGAGACTGACATTGAGGAGTCTACTACTGCTCATTCGGACTCCTTTTGGTCCTGAAATTGGTGGGAAAATTCCCTTTGTCGGATGTGGACGCAGCAAAAGAAAGGAACCACTTCCACCGCCACTTACGTGGATGGGGCCCACTTGCAAAGCTACCTCCACCACCCATTCCCACTGCTAGCCTGAGCCAGGGGAAGCCCCCCATTCAAATTTCAGGGCTGGCTGGATGGGAAGAGCTCGAATTCACTCCGTGCTTCAGCAGAGGTGGGCTTGGACCTATCTGAGCATGCTATCATCCAGGTGCAGATCAGGAAGGAGGTCTAGCAATTCCTTTCAGAAAGATCTCATGCCTTCTGGAGCAAGGCAGCAGTGGGATATTTCACCAGCTGAGCTCAGGTCTTCCCAGACAAGGGTGGATGCTTCAGGCCTGAGCTACAGGAGCTGCAAATGTGCCAAAAGCCAGAAAAGCAAATGGCAAATAGGTTGACACCTATGGCTGCCACCCATTCAGAATGGGTCTCCATACTCCCTGAAGAAAGTACCAACAAGTCTATGCATGATAAAGTCTGAATATCTGGATCCATTCATGGCTCATGCAGCATGCTCCAGGACCTACGTGCTCCGCAAAAGATGAGCAAACTTTGCCCATCTGCAACTGCATCTTGCCCTCTGTCATTAGACAGGGGGCTTAACTAATGAGTGTGAAGGGGGCCCACCTCTGAATGCAAACCAGGCACAGGTTTGTAAAATATCTTCCTGCTGTCATCTACTTTCTTTCAGACAGGTTACTCCCTGAGACCGAAGGAAAGTGTTTGAGAAGATCAAGAAGACATATCAGCTGGCTTCCTGCCCGCTAAAATGCCAGGTTAGCACCCAGAGTTTGTTGCTGCCCTCCTAATAGCAGGTAGCTCTTCCTCTGAGGGCATCTCAGCAGGACCATTCCCTGATGGGAGAAGATTCAGACAGAGGTGATGGCCCCACCTGAAAGATTAGACAAAAGAATTGTCCTTGTCCTTCCCTTTAGTGGTAGAGAAAGGAGTTTAGAGAGTTGTGGGCATCGCTTATCTGCTGTATCTTAATAAGTCTGGGCCCTGAGCTCCATGGCCCAGCTCAGCTCATGGGACATCCAGTTCTGCCCACAGAGCACCAAGCTCTGCAGGGCCGATCCCCTTGTCGGGCACCGGGCATAGAAGGAAGCTGTGCACAGAGCATCTTTCCAGTCCCCTGCCGAAGGGGAATAAACTGAACTGCATGCAGGGTCACGCACAAACCCCTCAGCCCCTCGTGCCACACAAAGAGTCAATCAGCTCCTTCCCTCCATTCGCACAAAGCCTTTTTATTTCCTATCCACTCAGGCTGCTCTCACCCGGACAGAGATAACACTGTCTCATGAAAGGCCAGCTGATTTTCTGAGCTGCCCTTGGTGCCGAGAAGGATAATGGCTTCTCACACAGCCTGCCCCACTGAAATGTCACCAACTTATGTGCAAAACAAACACGGGCTGGGCAGCAAGGACTGCTCTTTGCCGTAGGGAAAGATAGAGAACCAGATGTGTTAGATGCTGCAGTATTGTCTTTCTCCAACCCCAAATACCACTGCTCCCTGCGATCCCTCCTATTTCATGGCAGTCACAGAAACGGCCTCAAGGTCACCTCCCAAGAAGCTGGCCATACAAGGGCAGACAAATTCCTCAGGACAGACTGCTCCTAGACTCTGAAATGCACCTTTCAGGCAGGCACCAGGGTCAGCACAAGGGACCCACACAGCACTGCAGAAAGACAGCACTATCCACAGAAAGCCACGGCCTCTCAGAGCCACCACCAAGATCTCTTTGGGTGCAGGGAGGGACAGGCGCTGCTACAGTTGCTGAGCAATTGCATTAGTAAGTCATAGCTGCAGTGCCGACCCAGCATCCCTGCACTCAGTGCTCAGAGACCACCTCCCAGGGAACCAAAAAATGCCCCGCCTATCCAAAGCTCGTCTTCTTTTCCCCTTCCAAATGGATCAGCAAGAGTATTTGGAGATATTGCTTTTCCCTGCCAGGCTCAGTAACAGCATCCAGCTCCAAGCCAGCTGCACATCATCTCTCTGTTTTACATATGGGTAAATAGAGTCACGGAGAAGCCAAGGGATTCCTTTACTCCCGGGCTTCACTGGGGGCAGAACCGCCTGCACCCGAGGGCAGCAGGTCTCCCTGCCTTCACAGACTAATCTGCTCCCAGCGGGAGCTGCAGGTATTCAAGCAACAGCTCCAGGGACTTCCCAAAGTAATTCCCAGTCTCTGCTTCACAGGCACACTTACGTTTGGCCGCTTCCACTGGATGCCCTGGATTCTTGACTTGTAGAAGAGTGAGTCATCGTTGGCAGGGAAAAGTGGGTCCTCAAAGAGCTGCTTCCGCCTCTGACATGTCTTCTTCAGGGAGGCATAGCGTTGGTTCTCGTATGGCTTCACCGAGGAAAACATCCTTCCCCGCTGGCCCTGGGAGGACAGGCAGAGCAGGAGTGAGACGGAGTAGAGACCAGTCAGGGACATGTAATCGTCCTCTGCAACCCTAGATGGCAGCACTGAGAAGTTGTGACTGGAGACAGCCGGCCAGCCTCTGCCCTTGCCTTCCCTCCGAGGGGCAGAGTAGAGCCCATACGGCATGGTCTCAGTCCCTAGACATCACATTTATAGTCCCTGAAAGCATTACCACCTCCCTCGCCTAGACGGGTTAAGTGACACTGGAAAGCATCAGCATGCTTCATCACCGGTTTAAACACCCATGATAAAACCCTGCATGTGAGTGAGGAGAAACAGATTAATTCTCTAAGCCCACATGTAAGTTGCTGATCCCAAAGTTGACCAGACACCACCAGAACAGGCTGAGTACGACTATAATCTGTGTCCTGCCCACAGGCACCAGCATCCCTTTGGGAAAACACAACCCTCTGAGCTGAAGGAAGAGAAGACATCCCTAGCAAGATGTCCTGGTAGAGATCTGGCTGTGAGCAGGATTCACCAGGGCTGATATCTCACCTCAAGTTCTTCAATCCCAGCAACGGAGATATACCTCTTCCCTGAGCAATGAGGGACCCTGAGCTTTGCTCATCTGGCGTAGCTGTCCAGCCTGCTCCCACGCAGAGGTGCAGCAGCTTTCAAGCCACAGGTTGCCTTTGCCGTGATTAATATTAAACAAACAGGATCCCAGCCGCCCCCTTTAAAGACCGTGGGCGTCATCATTTGGTTGTCATGAGGCAATGGTCATATATCTGCCGGAGAGCACAGGCTGTCTGTGGAGAGCCGGTGCTTGGAGAAATGCCTTCTGCCCCCACCGCACAGCACCAAATTACACACACGCTCCACGATTTCAACAGAGGTGCTACTTTTTCAGAATACCTTATCAGATCCTCTGGTCTGTTTTTAATTAAAAAAGGCCTCCTGGCAGAGGACTACATGTTTCTGGATTAATTATCCCGTCTTGACAAGCGTCTAGCTTCAGAGCCCAGACACGAATATAGCAATCCAGACGAAAGCAGGAAACCGTTGCCCAAATGCCCCTGAGAGAGAGCGGCACCTGGGACGATGTTCTGCCACCCTGGTGGTTTGATAGCTGGGTATCAGTGCCTTTGCTCTGGTCTTCAGCCCTCAATCCCACAAGGCCAAGTCACCTTGGCACCATGAGACAGGGGCAAGGGAAGGGGGAGCTCTGAATATGTTGTTCTCAACTACTAAATCACAGACCTCATTCCATAGGTACTTTCTAAAGTCTACCCCATACATATTTTTAATATCCACTTACAACCCTGCTCCCTCCCCAGAACGGGATGTCCTGAAGTTCAAACTTCTGACCATTAATGACCCTAGTCTAGAAACACCTAGTCTGATTTCCTGAGGAAATGGGGTTTGTGTGTGCCGCAGGACTTCTGGACGCCAGCTGTCTTGGTTCTGCTGCTCCTAGCAGTGGTTATTTGCAGGAGGCATCAGAGAAAACCTGTCTGCTGCCAACTGCAATCATAATCCCATCTGTGATCTCCAGCATCACCTATAGCAAAATGAAGGGTACTCCATCTAGCAGGCAGATGCATCCAGCAAGCTGACCTAAGCCATTGCTCCCAGTGAGATGTAAAGAAACCATACGCTTATTCCGGTGAACGTCCACAGATGCTGGAAAGCTTCATGTATGTTGGGACAAGAAAATTGCAATAATGGCAGGCCAGAAGCACCTAATCTGGAAACATCTCAGGTCCCAGGGATTATATGATCATTTACAACTGGGTGCCTGTTTGGACTCAGTGACACATCCTCCGCTAACGAATTGCCAGGATTAGCAAAAAGAAAGTAGGTGTTAGAAGACTAACCCTGGCCCATCCCACCAGAGCAATCACCTGTGAGCCTCACCCACCAAGCCTGCCTCTTCTCACCTAGGTGAAACAAAAACACTTCACTAAAGACGTCTGTGGAGAGCAAAGGTGAGGTTTTAATTGACTATATTTATCGGTCTAATTAGCAGCACAAGTGCTTATCACTCAGAGCCTAAGTGAACTCAAAATAACCCTCTTGTTGCCTGCATGAAGGGACGCTCCACAGGTCTTTCTGCTGCTAGGGATCATTTGCTAAGGCAGTTTTTTTGTGTGCTTTGCGCCAGTCAGCAATATTTCTCCAAATCACCTAGCATGTCATAGGCCTCCGCCCGGAGGAACAGGGACTGCAAATAACTGCGCAGAAGGGACAATGACAATTAGGCCTTTACTTAAATGAGATCTTAATCACAGGAGAGGCACCACCCGGGAGATGCGGGAACGTGCATAGGATGGACGGGGGCAGCAGGTAGACGTGTCTCCCATGAGGAGACCATCAGCAAAGAATGGCTGAACTGCACCAGACAAACGACTCACCTACCCCGTTGTCCTGTCTCTGCAGACACCCAGGGAAGAGTACAGCAAACATATAGTGATAATCCTCCAGGACGCTCTCCCAGCCTCCAGCATTTTGTTGCTGCCGTTCTATGGCAGATTTCTCCCTCCTACAAATGAATTTTTCAGTGGCTTTCTGAGCCCCTTAGCATTCATAACACGTCACAGCAAGGTCTTCTGCAGTTTAGATACACACTATGTCGAGACCCTGTTCAGAACCCCTCCTAGAAGATAGCTGCTTCTGCTGTCCCCTAGTGCCTGTAATCGAAGAGACAGTGAATGGCAGCTTTCTCTATAACACTTAGGACTTAACTCATCTAGGAGTCTTTGAAGAGAAGTCAGCAGTGCATTGGTTATAGGGCTTCTACTGATGCTCCAAGCATTTTCCCTTCAGCATCATGACCAGTTCTCAGATGCTACAAAGTGATACAAATGCATCACCTGGCCTCAGAAAGGCCTTAAAATAAGTGGCCTGATACCAAGGCCTGAATTACACACCGACTTTACTCTTTGTAGAAGAGTAAAAAGCCTCACTGAGCAGTCAAGGAACACAACCCATGGTCAAAACGCACATCCATCCTACTAAGAACGACAGGAAACAAATTAACCCCCGATATCCAACAGCCCACACCACTTGCTCATTATCTTGCTCCAAGAGCCAGACATCAGTCGCTCTTTATTTAGCAGAACTTTGTATTTTCTTTTTCTAGGAGATGGCCCAGGTCTGTGCCTCAGTTTGTCCATGGAGATATTGCAAGCAGAGAAGTGCTGTGAATGATCAAATGCTTTGAGATTTCCAGGGTGACCTGCCTGGGTGTGGGCTGGGATTCACAGAAATCAGCAGTGCCCGGGGCACAACGCTGCAGCATCGACCTAGACTTGGCTGGGACCAGGCGGAGGCTTCTGCTCATCCTGATCATCTCCACCAGCACAGGGTTGAGCATTCACGTCCTGGTCCCACTGGGACAGGATCATCCTGCACATTTTGTGCTGCCCTATCCATACCACACCCTTTGCCAGGAGCACAGAGAAAGGCTGGGGCAGAGGTGCACAGGGAAGGGGGCAAGAGACAGGGAAGATGTGCCCAAGGAGGTCATGAGGACTGATATCTCAGCAGTGAAAGAGCTACTTTCAAGTGACAATCTGTCTGGAGCCTTTGCAGTGATGGCACTAACTGCTGCAGGGAGAGACACAGTCAAAGCAGCAGACCGAGAAAGGATGGTTGGCAGCCACCTCCTGAACAAATCTGACAGGGCGAGAGAGAAAGATGTTGCCGTAATTGAGACACGAGATGAATTGCTTGGACTGGTGCGTTAGCTGGGCTGACAGACAGGAAAGGACGTTTCTATGGGACATCATGCAGAAAGAGCCAGCAAGATTTAAGAACAGAGCCTGAAGAGGAGGGGAGGTCTGGTGCCTTTCTCAAAGCCACGCTTGAGTTACGGCGGGAGTTATGGGTTTGACGCAGAAGATCCTGGCTGCCTCGCTGCTTGTCCTGTGGCAGAGGGTTGTCACTTGGCTGCTCATTCATAAAATTACTGCTCCTCCCCACACAGCTTGGAGCTGTGTTTTCCAACAGCCTTTGCAACACCGATTTCCACGAGACCTCGTAATCCAGCCCCCTGGGCAATGCCTACCCCTTTGAGAACCACACTGTAGTCCTCCTGGCCCAGGATTCCCAGCCTTTTTATAGCCCAGCCTTGCTTGGGAGAAGCAGTCCACCTCCTTGCCCCGATATCCCATGCCACAGTGACTGTCACCTCAACAGCTGCCTGTCCTCATTGCGGGGCTGCTCTCCCTTGAAATGGGGGCTCCCAACTCCTTTATCCCACCCTCGTGGCTCTAACACAAAGGTTGATTTAATAAGCCAGGTGGAACAGATTGAGATCTCTCCGACCCAGAAGCTCAGGTTGTTTGCACAGCACAGACCCGTCTCATTTCACTTGCTCTCTTTCTTCATTATCACTACTGCCAGGGGCAATGCTCTACCCCAGGAGCAATGTTAGCAGCATGGGAAGTACGATCGAGCGCTGTGATCCCCAGGGAGCAGGAAGCACAATGCAAAATGTAACCCTCTTTCTGAACGGGTGACTCAGTGGTTGCAAAGGAAGTGCCACACAGAATGAGAAAGGATATCGTTCAGGAACATTTCTAAATGTTTTTTAAAACTTGCAAAATAATTAAAGGCGGGGAAGAGTTCTTAGAGCGGTGTTAAAATTCATTATCCTCTCTTACTTGCAGCATTTCATGCTTACCAGAGAGACCTTCAGATCTGCCACATTAAAATGCTCAGGGCAGCCTAATTGCATTTTGCCTTCTTGCACAAAGCTAGGATACTCCAGAAGCATGATAAACAGGCATTTGCGTGCCTGGTCCAGATTAGCAAAACTACACGTGTGTGTGTGTGCGCATAGGGAGGGGAATCCACATTCATATCTCTCCGTGGGGAGCTGGATATTCAGAAACAGTGGTCTGAGCCCACCTCAGTTCAGCCATGAAGGAGTTAAGTGAGAAACTATTTTATTTGAGGAGGGAGCCAAGTATATGAGTCAGTTGTATTATGGAATCCCCCTTTTCACCTCC